CCGTTGCATATCTAATTTTTCAGCTTCATTGGAAGGACTCTGATTAACACTCAATTTGAAATGAGCAGCAAGAGGAGTACTTACAGCCTTAGCATTTTCCATCTGGAACCTCTGAAGCACCCTTTTAACATAGTGTTCCTGTGACAACCAAAGTTTCTTCTTGTTCCTGTCACGCATGATTCTTATACCAAGAATCTGATTAGCAGCTCCCATTTCTTTCATGGCAAATGACTCGCCCAATTGCTTCTTCAACCTGTCAATCATGGAAATATTTTTCCCAACAATAAGAATGTCATCAACACACAATAACAGGATAATGAAATTATCATCAGCAAACTTTTTAACAAAAACACAGTGATCAGAAGTAGTCTTCTTGTAGCCTTGCTCACACATAACAGACTCAAACATCTTGTACCACTGACGCGGGGCTTGCTTCAAGCCATATAGGCTCTTTCTCAATCTGCACACATAGTCTTCCTTGCCTTTAACAAGAAAGCCATCAGGTTGCTTCATGTAAATCTCTTCCTCCAAATCACCATGAAGGAAAGCAGTTTTTACATCCATTTGTTCTACCTCTAGATCAAGAGTAGCAGCCAAACCCAACACGGTTCTTATGGATGACATCTTCACGACAGGAGAAAAAATCTCATTGAAATCAACACCCTTTCTTTGTCTGAAACCTTTCACCACCAATCTGGCTTTATATCTTGGAGATGTAGAATTGCTTTCTTGCTTTACCCTGTAAATCCACCTATTTTCCAAAGCCTTCTTGCCTTTAGGAAATTTCACCAAATCAAAAGTGTGATTATCATGCAAAGACTTCATTTCATCTTGCATAGCATCCAACCACTTCTTCTTTTCATCACTCTCCATGGCCTCATTAAAACACTCAGGTTCTCCTTCATTTGTCAAGGTAACATAGTCATCAGAAGGATACCTGGTAGATGGTTTCCTCTGCCTATTAGACCTCCAAAGTTGAACTTGAGGTGGTTCGGGAGCATCACCAAGATCTTCATATTGTGACATCTCATGTTCCTCTTCAGCATCATCAACATGAATATCTACATCATCTCCAAGTTGCTGGTCACTAACATCATCATGTTGCTCATCATTCTGAACATTATTTTCAGCAGTATCCAGATCATGTACAGGCCTCCGAACTGGATCAACATCAGACAAACTATTATCAATCTCTGGTGTAGTCTTCTCCATCTTGTCAATGTCTTCAATGGTTTGGTCTTCCACGAACTTCACATCACGGCTTCTAACAGCTTTCTTCCCAACTGGATCATATAGCTTGTAGCCAAATTCATCTTGACCATACCCGATAGAAATACACTGCCTTGTCTTCGCATCCAACTTGGATCTCTCATCCTTTGGAACATGAACATATGCTTTGCAACCGAAGACACGCAAATGATCATATTTGACATTCTTGCCAAACCAAATTTTGTCTGGCACCTCTGCATTCAAAGCAACCACAGGACTCAGATTAATAACATGCACTGTCGTGTACAATGCTTCACCCCAGAAATGTTTAGGCAACTTTGCTTCAGAAAGCATACACCTAACTCTTTCAATCAAAGTTCTATTCATCCTCTCCGCTAAACCATTCAGCTGAGGAGTTTTAGGAGGAGTCTTTTCATGTCCGATACCGTGCTGCTTGCAATAAACATCAAATGGTCCACTATACTCACCACCATTGTCAGTACGAATGCATTTCAGCTTCTTGTCTGACTGTCTCTCCACCATAACATGGAACTCTTTGAATTTCTCCAGAACTTTGTCTTTTATCTTCAAAGCATAGACCCAAAGCTTCTTGGAACAATCATCAATAAAGGTAACAAAATAAAGTGCACCACTAAATGACTTTACCTTCAACGGGCCACAAACATCAGAATGCACCAATTCAAGCAAATCTGAATTCCTTGAGGGATGATGCTTCTTAAAGGATACTCTAGTCTGCTTACCAGCCATGCAATGAGAACATTTATCCAACTCTGCACTCTTCAATCCCGGAAGCACATCCTTTTTAGCTAAACAATTCAGCCTCTTTTCACTGATATGACTAAGCCTGCGGTGCCACAAAGAAGCCTCCATATCCATGACATTCACACTGTCTTTAGCAACCAATGCTTTAGTCCAATACAATTTATTATCTTTCTCCCCTCTAGCCACAACCAAGTTACCTCTGGTGAGTTTCCATTTTCCAGAACCAAAGTGATTATCATAACCACCTTCATCAAGCATATGCACAGAAATCAAATTGAAGCGAACATCTGGAGCATGTTTGACTCCTCTCAACAACAACTGCACTCCCATGTTGGTCTGCAAACAAATATCACCAATACCAACTACCTTAGACACACCATCATTACCCATCTTCAACACTCCAAAGTCACCAGCAGTGTAAGATGTGAAGAACACCTTCCTTGGTGTAACATGCAGTGTAGCAGCACTATCAACAGCCCACATGCTCTCATCTGATACAAGATTGACTGAATCATGGTCACGGAGAATAATCAGATCATCACAAGTAGCAGTAGTAACACGGTCATCATCATCATGATTCTTATCTTTCTGCTTACTATTATTGTTTCTGTTCTCCCTTTTTCATATGAAACAGTTTTTCTGTATGTGCCCCATTTTGTGACAATGATTGCACTCAACATTCTTGTATCTGGACTTGGACTTACTTCTGTTGTTGTCTCTACTCGCACTCCTGCTATTCTGCCGGTTCCCTTCCGGTTCCTTTTTCTGACTCCTGCCTCTGTTCTCAGTGACAAGTACCTCAGAATGAGATGAAGTACCCTGTGCCTTCCTTCTCATCTCCTTATTCAGAACACTTCCCTTTACACTTTGCAAAAAGACAACACCATCAGAAGCTGAGTTTGTAATTGAAACCCGAAAAGTTTCCCAAGAATCCGGTAGAGTATTCAGTAGCCATAGTCCCAAAATGTCATCATCAAATTTGATACCCATACCTGACAATTGATCTAGGAGCCCTTGAAAATCATTCAAGTGATCAGAAATAGAAGTTCCCTCCTTGTACCTCAAATTCATCAAGGAATTCAACAAATACAACTTATTATTCCCTGATTTAGAAGCATACAAAGATTCAATCTTCTTCCACAAGGATTTGGCATGTTCCTCATTAGCAATGTGATTATAAACATTGTCTTCTACAAATTGTCGAATAAAACCACAAACCTGCTGATGTTCAAAATTCCACTCTTCATCAGTTTTGGATTCCGGCTTCTCACTAGCAAACACAGGAAGATGCATATTTTTCACAAATAACAGATCCTTCATTTTTCCCTTCCACAAATGATAATTAGTGTCATTCAAAGAAATCATTATATTTGTATTTCCCTCCATCATTCAAACAAGTCAAACAGCCCCTTAACCAAAGAGCTCTGATACCACTCTGATGGGAAATTCAACAACAATTAACAGTAACAACTCTAATAGAGCAATACACAGCGGATATAATTTCCCCAACTTGTTGAATCTGTGAGGAGCAACAACAAATAATGCAGCAACTAAAAATCAACAACACAAAGAGACACCAAGATTTTTAACGTGGAAAAAACCTTCTCAAAGTGAGAAGTAAAACAACCACGGGCACAAGCCAGTAAACAAGCTTCACTATGATCAATGTATGGGTATAAGAGAGTCTCAAATGTAGCACAAATCGTGCTCAATAATCAGCCAAAACAACAAGGCAATAAAACATGAAATAGAGAACAAAGAAGAACCAGAAAACTCCAAAGGGCTGCTACTATGCGTGGCCAATATTTCCCACCTCAGACCTCTAATCGCCGATCACACCGTTCAGATTGAAGAACCGGATGTCAGGAACCTGCAGTTCAAATTTTGGCCAAATCGGACGGTGAACGAAGGAGATATCGCGATTCTAGTGCAGCTGCTATGTGTATGTGCGAAAATCTGTTTCTCTTCTCTTCTCTCACTTTTCTCTTGCCTCTCTTGCCTAAATTAGACCTCTCACACTTTCCCTAATTGATCCCTCTCCACTTAGATAAATGAGACACATGGGCTTGCACATATTGAGCCTTTCTCCACATAGGATGGGAGTCCAAAACCCAACATGATCTGCGATCATGATGGCATCACTTTCCACGGATGTAACAGTAAAGAACTGTCTTGATGGTGTGCTGTCTACTTGGATGCTTTTCGGTGCAGCTGTATCGTTATGATTACAACCAAACAAAAAGCGATTTTTTTTTTTGTTGGAAATCTTGGTATCCAGCATTACTAGTCCTTTGAAAGAGTATAGGTTTGAATTAGTAAAAGGTTGGGCACAAAAGCATAGGCTGTTTCAGATTGCTGCAGTTGGTAATCCTTAAGGAAATCGACATAGCTGACCATTTTATCAAAATCGTACCGTCCAGATTTTAAGTTTGGTACATTTAAATCTAAACTGTTTGATTTCAATGTAACAGAAACAACATATGTTTTGAATATGCAACTTCTAAAATAGGCGATCTAACTTCAATTACCACACGCAAAGAAACACAAATACATTAAAATCTTTATAGAAAGCGCAAATACATTAAAATCTCTATTGAATTGCACATGATTCTAACTGATATGTCGCAATACTCGAGTATCCGATTTTTTTTTTTGTTTAAACAAAAAATATCCAATAAGCCATGACATATGTTTGGGATGGTTTGTATCCGTCGACCTATCTGAATTATACATGGCACACATGTACCAGTACCCAATGAAATTTGATGGGCACGAGAGTGTTACATTTGGCTCATCATAATAAAACATGGTACTTAACTAAAACCAAATATCAGTCAACAATTCAAATAACTACTACCTAAGTCTTAGTATTTATTCAAACCAGAAAATACTAATTAAATTTCAACATAGCCTATAGTTTTTTGTGCACAAGTCTTGCATTTGACAACAATGTTGGTATATTCTTCTTGGAATGTTGGCCTCGCACTAGCTCTGCCAAGGCAAGATCACTAGAGAGGTTGGCAATCAGTGGTATGGAGTGTGCCTGCAGTTTCAATTTAGCAGTGTAGTTTATAAATAGGAATGATAATAACAGTGCTAACAAATTTTTGAATCATATTTATTTGCTTCAGAAACTTATTGCAGTGATTTATATACCGGAAGGATACGAATCATGAGATGTGTAAGTGTTACAATCCGATGATTTTGAGGGAGGCCTAGGAGGTGAAGACAGGAAAGGTTTTGGTGGTATTTGCAAAGATTCCAAGCTACCTTCCATCATATCTACTACTTTACTCATTTCAGGCCTATGGGATGGATCAGTCTGGATGCACCATAAGCTTACTATAATCATCTTTCGAACACGATGTTTATCAAATTCATTATTATTACTTTGCAGTCTAAATTCTTGATTCAGTTCAAGGCGCTTGTAAATCCAGTGTGGAAAATAAATTTCACTCGACCGTTCAACATCATCCATACTGTTCTTCTGTTTTCCACCAACCATTTCCAAAACCATCATTCCATAGCTATATACATCAGACTTGTGAGAAACTGAACCGAAATTTCTAGAGAACACTTCAGGAGCAATGTATCCTGCAGTACCTCTAGCACCCAATAAAGATATAATACTTTCTTTTCTTGGACATACTTTTGCAAGTCCAAAATCAGAAATTTTAGGACAAAAATCACCATCTAGTAATATATTATGAGGTTTTATATCAAAATGCAAGATTTTAGTATTGCAACCCATGTGCAAATACTCTAATCCTTGAGCAACGCCAATTGCAATATTGTAGATAGTATTGCAACTCAATGGAAAATTTAGCTTTAGTGGATCTTTGTCTTGATATATGAACTTTTCTAGTGATCCGTTAGGCATGTAGTCATATATCAAAGCTCTTTTAGAACCTTCTAAACAGAATCCCAATAAACTAACGATATTAACATGAGAAGTGACACTAATACTTGCAACCTCGTTAATGAATTCTTCACCGTTACCATTGGATTCACTTAATACCTTTACTGCCACAAGACTCCCATCTTGTAATTTTCCTTTGTATACACTTCCGTATCCTCCTCGGCCTAGTTTGTTTTTGAACGAGTTTGTTACTTTTTTTATTTCTGTATAAGTGTACCTTTTAGCTGCTAGATGACCATGGTTTTTCAGAAACAACTCAATTATTTGGTATGGTGAGTTTTTGTTGCTGATAAAACGCCTTCTCAAGAACCAAGCCAATAAAGCTAGAACTCCAAGTACTCCAGTAGAAGATGCAACTGCATAGTTTATCAAGTAATTACTAATCTAGTGCAGAAAGTGTTATTATACACTAGTATATTGAGTATTTATGGAAAATGAGCATTTCACACCTATTTTCATTACACTACTCTTTCTTTTCTGTGAATGTAATAACAAGCCAAGTTATTAAATTCAAGGTAGTTCTGTACTAGACACTAGTTGTATAATAAATAAGTTAAGACAAAATGATACAAAGCTAAACCAGATCATAATCCTGGATTAATGACTCATCAGACTTGCAAGTTACTAGTTAGCATTCTTAGAACTATATTAATGCACACTATTATTAATGATCAATGATCGTTCTTTATAGACCACTAGTTGTGTTTACAACTCATTAATCAAGCCCAAAAGAACATAATCAACTTAGTTAGTTAGTTACTTGCCTAACAAAATAATTTAACTAAATTAACCAATTAGTTATTTACGTGACAAGTAACTCACTTAATCTACACTTATTACATTGAGCATGCTTTCCTTCTCTTTGAATTTTTCAATCTTTAATGGTTTGGTTAGAACATCTACTATCTAATCATTTGTTTTGCAGTATGTCGAAGTGATTTTTCTCTTTCTTACTTGATCTCTAAGAAAGTGAAATTTGAATTCAATGTGTTTGTTCCTTCCATGAGCTATAAGATTTTTTGCAAGGTTAAATGTTCATTTGTTGTTTACCATTAGTTCAACTTTTTTCTCTTTTCCTATCTCCATTACAAACAACAAAGATTGGAGTCAGGCTCTTTTACAAGTGTATTACAGGATGATAGTTGTGATGAACTGGTGTTGTCATGTAATTGTTTATTCGATGACGTAGTTTTTTTGTGATATTTATTTTAATAGATTTAAAGGTTGCAAACTAAACTTGTAAATTTCTTTTTTTAATGTTATTGAGTTGAGCCTCTGAAAACGCTCTAGTTATTTGTTGATGGATATTGAGTTTAGTCTGTGTAAAAGCTATTGGATGTTTGTGAAAGATTTTTGGTCTAACCCTATACAAAAGCTTAAGTTGTTTTGTAAGATTATTTGGGATGATCTTATGAAAAATCTCAAGATTATTTTTAGTGAAAATCTCAAAGGAAAACTCTTAGAAACTAGAGTAGACTGAACCAGGATAATTTTATGATGTAATCTTTTTATCTCTTTTTTTATTTGTGTTATTTATTTTTATTCCACTACTTATTTCTCCATCTCTTCTATTTTCTATTGTTTTGTTGTCTCCTCTCTGTTTATTTCTATCTTCTAACACAATTCATTTTAAATCAAAGCTTTTTTTTAAACAAATTTTAAAATCCTAATATCACAATTCACCCATCATATGTTTGTAGTCACTTGGTCAATATATTATTCATATCGGGAACATACAACATTCGAGGGATGAGTGTTTGACTTCCTTGCTTTCATTTAATCAACACATCACAAACCCCTTCTAATGGAAATTTTTATGTTAATATCACATCTTAGATTTGTCTTTGTTGAATCATCAAAATGACAAGCCATTCTCGATAACTCGCCTTAAGATTTGAACAATTTGTGTCCAAGTACGAACCATCTATACTTCTAATTTCTAAATTGGTTTTTCCATCAAGAGCATAAGGTCTGATTGTGAGTTACTCTCACCCTAATCCTTGTGTGCCTCATTGTCTGCATTTTCCTTATTTTGTGGGACACATTTTCCCTAACACTCCTTGCAAAGTGTCTAAATCTTTGAATATTATAGCATTGAGTGTTCTTCTTGTTCATTGGTTTTTTCTTCTTTTTCATTCTTGATGAGCAGAATGGTTTCTGGTATAAGATTCAGGTTAGTCATCTTTCTTAGAGTATTGTTCTTGAAATCATCCTCTCTTGGATATTTCATTTCCCTCCCACTTTTAACCACCACCATTCTTAGTTGTTTGAGCCTTCATATCCTATTCAGTCACATATCCTTTTGTTTTTTCAAGCACTCTTTGATTGTGTGCTTCCAAAAACATTGCAATTCCTGAAACTTCATGATTGATGAATCTTATGATTTTTTTTAGTTTACATTGCAATAGAATAAAATTTGGAGGAGAGAGTCTGCATCATCTTGTTCACTTTGGTTTGATCAAAAATAATTTGGAAGAGCTTTTCATTTGATTGGTGATCTGTGTAATCATATAGAAATATTCATCAATTTTTTCATTGTTCTTCATCTACAAATTTTCTTCTTAAAGTTTGTAAAAGAATGTTTCTGAGTTTGTCATCATCAACACGACATTTCTCAAGAATGTATCAAGGATCATTGGATGAAGTATCCTAATCAATTTTCTTCTTCATTACATTTATGTGTCATGATTTGTATATCTAATACATTACTGACAAAATCTTGCATTCTCGTTTGCACTATTTCCATTACATCGTGGAATCTAAAAACCTTCTATATGTTGGAAGTAATTCATATTCAGAAGTTATTAGATTTAGAAGCAATGTTGCTCAGAAGCAGTAGAACTTCTAAGATTGTTAGTTAGAAGTTGTTATTAGTCAGAAACAGAAGCTTCTGATGTTGCGTCTCAGAAGTATGTTCAGTTTGTGGGGTTCTAGTTATTTTGTTTACTTAGCTATTAAGTTTAGTTTGCTTAGTTTTTAAGTTTACCTTTTATTAGGGCCTACATGACAATTTACTTTGTGTATAAATAGACTAGTGGTAGCTGTCATAAAAATATTCAATCATTCTTCTTTATAACTTTATAGCCGTCATTGCAGAGCTTTAATATTATTATCTCATACCTTTTTCTTCATTTATTAACTTTGTGCACTAACAAATTGGTATCTAGAGCTCTGGTTCGGATCCACAGGGACACACGAATGAAATGGTAAGGCGTTGTGTGATTGATTTTGGTTCTTGAATTCGCGTTGAATCTTAAACAAAATCTGAACATAATCACATTTTATGATTCTGTAGAATTTGAAAACATTGTGTTTGTGAGATCTGAGTTACTTGCACTAGGTTGAAGATTAGAAACAGTAGTCTAAGCACTAAACTTTCAGTATTTAATGGTAAAAACTGGAATCATTGGATGTTTCAGATGCGTGTGTTGTTTGACGCTCAAGATGTTCTTGATCTCGTTAACGATGGTTATATTCCAGTTGCAGCAGATGCGGCAGAGGAATAGAGAAATGTACAAAGAGATATAAGGAAGAAATATCAGGAGGTGTTGTTCTTCATCCATCTGTGTGTGGATGAGAACGTGTTTGAGAAAATTGTTGATTCAACGACAGCGAAGGCTGCGTGGAACATACTGAGTAGGTGTTCAGTGGTGACAGATCAGTGAAGAAGGTTAACTTTCAGTCTCTCAGAAAGCAGTATAAGAATTTCAACATGAAGGACAACGAGAAGATTTCTAAGTACATCTTCATAGTGATTTTGATCACTAATGAGATGAAAGTTTATGGAGAAACTCTTTCTGAACAAGTAATCATTGAGAAGATATTGAGGTCTCTTACTCCTCAATTTGATTACGTTGTTGTAGCAATTGAGCATTATAAAGATCTAGACACCATGAGAATAGAAGAGCTGCAAAGAAGTCTAGAGACGCAAGAGTTGCGTCTGAATGAAAGAACTTCTGAGAAGAAAGTTGAGCAGACTCTAAAAGCTTCTTTTGTCAAGAAGGACCAGAAGCAGAAAAACATGGTAGGTTTTAGAAGTCGGAAGTTTTCTATTCTGATGAGAAGAAATATCAGAAGGGAAATGAGAAGTATGACAAGAGAATAATTATGTGTTACTGTTGTAATAGGTTTGGCCACTTTGCTAAAGATTGTTGTTTAAACAAGAAGAAGCAAAAATAGTCAGAGGAGATTCTGATGATGAACATGTTCTATTGTTGGCTTATGAATCTGATGAGGAACCAGTGCGATTGTCATTTTCTGATTCTGAAGGGGAGAAGATGACTCTGAATATTCTGACTTTGGAGTGTTTGAATATGAGTCAGAATCAGAAGATGAATCTGAAGATTTTGAAGATGAGTCAGAATCTGAAGATTCTGAAGATGAGTCAGAATTTGAGGTTTCTGAAGATGAGTCAGAGTTAGAAGATGATTTTGAAGCTAAAGACAAGTCAGAATCTGAAGGTGATTCTGAGTCTTAAGAAAAATCAGAAGATGAGTCTGAATCTGAAGGAGATTATGTTTCTGAAGATGAGTCGGAATTTGAAAGTTCTAAAGGGAGTCAGAGTCAGAAGATGAAGAATCTTCTGGAGACTCTGAAGTTGACTCAGATGGTGAATCTGATTCTGATCCAGATTTTGAATCTGGTGGTGATCATGCTTCTAGAATGGAAAACTCTGAAGATGTAGGTTATGGAGGACAAGCTTCTGAAGATGATCATGTTTCTTGTGGAAATCATGTCTTTAAAGGTGGACCTTTTGAAGAAGAAGCTTCTGAAGGTAGTCCAGCCTCTGACGGTGGTCATGATTACGAAAGTGGAACTTTTGAAGGCAGAGTTTCTAAAGACGATCCAATTTCTGAAGGTGGTATTTCTGAAGGTATTGGTTCTGAATGAGGTCCAGAAGTTAACAAATGTGTAGCTTCTGGTGGTAGTCAAACTTCTGAAGAAAGTCCAGAAGGAGATACTGTTCCAGAATCAGAAAGAGTTTCTGAACAAGTTCAAAGGCCACAAAGAATCATACAAATACCAAGAAGATTTGCAGAGTTTGACAAGCTGCAAGATACTGAAGGGACTATGAGGTATGAAGTGTTGTTCTCTTCTGGTGTTAAATCTGACTCAGAGCTGATATGTTATTCAGACTTTGATTTGTATCGAGACAGAGTTGACAAAAGAAATACTTCTGAATATTTTTGTTTGTATCTGGAAAGTCCTATTTCTTGGTGCTCCAAGAATCAACTGGTGGTTGCGTTGTCAACCTGTGAAGCTCTCAAGAAGAAAGTGTGGTTGAAGTCCATGAAAGAAGAGCTTGCTACTATTGAAAGAAACAAGACTTGGGAGTTAATTGGGCTTTCAAAGGAGAAGAAAGTCATCAGCGTCAGATGGGTCTTCAAGGAGAAATCTGCATTTCTAAATGGAGTACTAGAAGTTGCACATTGTAGCAACCAAAAGCAATTTGCAGATGTTCTGACGAAGAATGTCAAGACTGAACACTTTATCCATTTGAGGGATGAAATTGGTGTTGTAATTTTTTTGGTTAGCTGAATATGAATTAAAGGATGTTGTTGAAAGTAATTCTTATTCCGAAGTTATTAGACTCATAAACAGTGTTACTCAGAAGCAGTAGAGCTTCTGAGGTTGTTAATCATAAGTTGTTATTAGTCAAAAGCGGAAACTTTTGATGTTGCGTCCCAGAAGTATGTTCAGCTTCTGGGGTTCTAGTGTTTTGTTTACTTAGCTATTAAGTTTAGTTTGCTTAGTCTTTAAATTTATCTTTTGTCAAGACCTACGTGACAATTTACTTTGTGTATAAATAGACTAGTGGTAACTGTCATAAAAATATTCAATCATTCTTCTTTACAATTTTATAGCTATCATTGCAGAACTTTAATATTATCTCATACATTTTTCTTCATTTATTAACCTTTGCACTAATATTATATTCTTTTGCTCCATCTATCCTAATTACTGTTGCAAAGAAGTGGGAGCTTCCAACTAAAACCGCTTCAAAAATTCTTCAAAGAATTTGTCATAGTCACTCGATAAACAAGTAGAATGAACACCAAATATTAAACACTTTAAGAACCCATTAACCTAACTCTCTAGACACTACTTGCTAGAACTACATTAACACACATAGAAAAGAAAGAGAGAAATTGAATATAAGATGTGTCTATTAGACACTATCATATTAATGATCATAGATTATTATTTACTCTCTGCTAATTAAGCTTATAAGGTGCTAATCAAGCCAAAAAACTTAACCAACTCAAGTAATTAATTCCTTGCCTAACACAAATAATTAAATATAACATTTTATATTTGAATTATAATTCAAAATATATATTTGAAAATACTACAATTCAATCTCCGCGATTATGATTGAGAGGGAGTTAAAACTATTTGTTATCAGAATTGACTCTGAATCAAATTAGATAGTCCAATAGATTGAATATTGGTGGTGAAAAAAATTTGAAAAAAATTGTAAATTATATTTAATTTCTACATACCTGTTGTGACTATTAGAAGGGTCTTATTAGATTTCCCTGCCAAATAAAACAACATAAGTGTTAGTATGAAATGAAGTACTGTAATTATATTTGGGAAATCTTAAATGTGTAAATTGCGGCGGTACCTTGGTGACAATAAAACTGGCCTTGTGTATCAAGACGACATTGACCTCCATCAATATCATGGCAACTTGAACAATCTTGGGAAACTTGTAATTTGATTGGAATATCAGCGATCAAGTAGTAAAAAAGATCTTCTGGGTCAACATCAGCTGTAACTTCATATTTAGTTGGAAGCTCCACCTTTGAACATCCTTTGAGATGATAAGTGGTGGAATCAGTTACAACCACAATAGTTTTATCACTGTTGGAGAACAGTTGTGTTGTACAAATAGAAGTTGAATTAGAAACAGAAGAATAGTACTGTCGAAGATCGACTGTGTTGTTGATGTTGCTGCATCCGAAAACAGTAACATAATTCTCTAGACTGGACGAAACCAAAGGCGTGTTGATAGTAAACATAGAATCGAAATTAAGAATATTGCAGCTTTTCTGTTGCAATAAATCATGGAGTTGATCGTCCCGAATTGTGATTGTGAAGGGTTTGATTTCGATTACATCAAACCATCTATTGTTATTTTGAATGCTTTTTGTGGATTGTGGTTCGGGGTCATCACAACCGTGTATGGTTAACATGCCACAGTTTGGGTGTTGCGGTGTTGTAAAAGGAAACTCGATTTGTCCGACATGTCCGCAGTTAATTGAAGCTGGACAGTTAGCTGATGCTAGTAGCACTTGAATTATAATGAAGAATGAAAACAACAAGACGCTTTGTTGTGAGGCCATTGGTGTGAGAGTGTGAGTAAGGAATATTGACTTAAAAAATGATATGATTTATCAAAATTAATTAAGGAAGCAACGTGGAGATCAACAGGGAGAATGGTCTTGTTAGATTAGAAAGAAAAACCACATACATGAATTCTTATTGTTACAAATATTTAATAAATTATTTTATTTACTTAATTTTTTTTTAATTGTTATTATGAAAGTGATTGTGATTATGTAGGAGATAGAATATCATTTTTTTTTTAATTAACAAAAAATAAATAAAATATTATATTTGTGTGTACCTAAAATTTTTCTTAGATTAGATTCGGCCGTTTTTGACTAAATTCTATATTTAGTTGCCAATGTCATATTTTTTATTAGGAACTTGGAAATGTATCAAAGGGATGGTTGATACTAATGGAAGATTTTTCAACAAATACTTTTCCCTTTTTTTATTATATTTCTTATATGAGTATTTAAAAAAAAAATTGTATTAAATTATAATAATTCTAAGCTATTTTAGAATATGAATGAGTCATTAATATTATTTTTTAATTATAAAATATTATTAACGTGTTATTTCCTAATAATCAAATTCATTATCACTTGGTATTGATTTTCACTCTCTCATTAATTTGTGTATTTGAGTGTTAACCTTGCAAGTACACTTCATATTATCGTATTAAAATTACAACACAATTGTTCTTTACATCGATTCCACCGTGTAATTGACAAAGTCACTAGACCTGCTAAAGCTATTCTAAAATCGAATCCTTACGACTATTGTGACATCCAAAGTCAATGGACTTGTTAAACCTGATGTTCTTATCATGGTGGAGGCTAACATAAATCGTCCTCGCCTTCATTTTCTAGAAGTTGAAAATCCAATGTTAGTAGCTTCACCATCTATCCTTTTGAGAATCTTTTAAGGTGCGTTCCATCCTACTATGCAGCTTGGCTTGGTCAAGAAATTCCCTGGCCTCCAACTACTGCAAGCTAATTTGAGTGCACATGGAGCAGCTAATTTGATGAACAACATATATAATATGTATAAAAACAGAACTCTCAGTTTCTAATTGATAGGATTCAGAGACCTGGAAAGAGCATGCAATTTTCCCCTCCTAGAGGACGCACACTATGGGAAGCGGTCTTGCGCAGAAATCTTGTCGCAACTCTAAAACCAGTCATTGCCAAGACACCTACAACACGAGAGAAAATTCCAGAATCTCCACGCCCTTAGAGAATTGAAAGACACTAGTCTCCTCCCTAGATCTGAGGGAAGAACTGGAAAATACATTCCAGTTGAAGTTCCTCATCCTCTTCGCTATTTGACTCACAATCATCAAAAGAGGAAAAAAGTTGAATTTGACGCTGAAGCTACAGAATGAAAGAGAATCTCGTTATCTACACGAATCCTTGACATCATAATACAGAGATCGCTAGAGAAACCTCCAAAACATTCAAACTACAACGAGATCAGAATATATTGCCCTCACTGAAGTTGTGAAAGAAACATTGTGACTTGAAAGTTTTGCTAATTAGGAGGTGAAACTTTAAAGTCGAGTTATCACTGTTAAATGGGATAGTCAAAGTGCAATACATATGTCAAAGAATTAATCCTATCATGAGAGAACCAAACACATCAATGTAAGGCTGCATTTCGTGAGAGGGGTAATTTAGAGTGCAGAAGTTCAAGTGCTGATGATTTCGGCAGATCACAATGCTGCTGATATGATCACCAAGACTTTATCAAGTTGCAAATTTTTCCACGGTATGAAGTTGATAAAGCTGCATATGAAGAAAACTAATTTGTTCCCGTGATGTTATAGAGTTTGTTTTAAGGTGGAGATTTGTGAGATAATGGACCGACTCTAGTATGATCGAAGGAGTAGCTTCTGATCTGATATGATTTAACCATGAGGTCGAAACTTGTTCGTATGCTGCTGTCGAAATAATGCGTGTTGTAGTCAAAGTTGTTCTAACATGCATTAGTCGAAAATGCTAGGATTGTTAGCATGTCGAATTGAGCCTGTATGTTATGCCCAATTGTCTAAATTAGTTTGTTTTCTAAGTTAGCTTGTAACGAGTTTGTGTGTAGAAGCCCATTAATTTAGTATGTTAGCTTTTTTTATAAATAACATACTAGTCTTTCATCATTGCACACTGCAAATTCTAATTAAAGTGAGAGAGATTATTTATTATATAACATTTGTGATCTTATTTCAAAGAGAAAGTAAATAAATAATAGTTTATAATCAATTCATTGTATTCTTCTGGTTTTCCGTTCTTTCTTTATGATCAAAATCGAACGATCCATTTTTCTAACTTGATATTTTATAAAGGTAAGTGAATATTGCAAAGGTATTCACAACTAAATGAAAGAGGATAATCAATCAACTAAAAAAATGTAATTAGGAGAGTACTCACTCATTAGTTATGTGAGATCAACTAGTAAGTATCTTGAAAATGAAGATGAACTCTTTCCTTTCCTCTAGCTCGTTATCCTTGCTCTCTATTCTTTCATAATAGTCTTTATCTCTCTCTCATCTAAAATACACTCTTGCCATTTCTACTCATATTTAACCGTAAACATATGAAGGATGAACTAAATGTTCAATTTTGAGGCGTCTGTGTTTTGGAAGCCATGGGTTGAGGGTTTGGTTGCCTTGGCCCAAAGCCAACCTTGTTTACATTAATACGTCAATCATATAATTATATATATGTTTATTTATTTATTTTAATTCACAAATAAATTATGATTGGTAGAGCTGGTCTGATTATTATTGAACTAATTTCAACAAGTTGTTCACTAAAAATATAATTTTTATTTTTTAATAGGAAATCATGAAGCATCTATTTTAAATTTATGATTTTTCTTTTTTAACAAGATTGAAATTAATCTTATGGCCTATTGTGATGCTATAGGGCCAGAGATCACGCCGACTACAAACCCTATTATAATTATCTTTTTAACAATTTGTTTATCTAATTCATCATTAATGCTTTGCAATTTAGGTTCTTGATTTTGTTCAAGGCGCTTGTAAATCCAGTGTGAAAAATAAATTTCACTCGAATGTTCAACGTTAACAATATTGTCATTCTGTTTTCTCGCAATCATTTCTAACACGATCATTCTATAGTTATATACATCAGACTTATGAGAAACACAACCAAAATTCCTAGAAAATACTTCGTGAGCAATGTATACTGTAGTACCTTTTGCACCCAATAAAGATATAATACTTTCTTTTCTTGCACATATTTTTGAAAGTCCAAAATCTGAAATTTAGGACAAAAATCACCATCTAACAATATATTATGAGGTTTTATATCAAAATGTAAGATTTTGGTATTGCAATCCTTGTGCAAATACTCTAATCCTCGAGCAACGCCAGCAATATTGTAGATAGTTTTGCAACTCAATGTAAGATTTAGCTTTAGTGGATCTTTGCCTTCATATATGTATTTTTCTAGTGATCCATTAGGCATGTAGTCATATATAAGAGCTCTTTTGGAACCTTTCTAGATAGAATCCCAATAAAGTAACAATGTTAACATGAGAAGTGACACTAATACTAGCAACCTCGTTGATGAATTCTTCACCGTTACCGTTGGATTCACTTAAAACTCTTACTGCCACGAGACTTCCATCTTGTAATTTTCCTTTGTATACACTTCCATACCTTCCTTGACCCAATTTGTTTTTGAATGAACTGGTTGCTTTTTTTATCTCAAGTGTAAGTGTATCCTTTAGCTGAAACGTGACCATGGTTTTTTAGAAACAACTCAATTAGGGTTTTTATTGCTGATAAAATGCCGTCTCAAGAACCAAGCCAGAACTCCAAGTAATCCCGTAGAAGATGCAACTGCATAACTTATCGAGAAGTTAATAACCGATTGCAGATTAAGTGTTGTTATATATACTAATATGGCCCGTTTCCTTTATTATTTTTTAAAAATAATTTTTATAATGTTACTTAACTTTGTATAAAAAAATTATAATTTTTTTTAATGAAAAATGAAAATTTAATTTGGATAATTATTTTTAAAATATTATTTTAGTTATTTCATCTTTTTATTAAAGTTTTTTAGATATCAAAATTTTAAAAAATCACTTAATTTTAAAGTTATTTTAAATAAATTTTCATAAAAATTATTTTTGAAATACAACATTTTAAAAAAATTATAATTTTGACTATGTTTTGATCTTCAATAATATACTTTTATGTTATAAGATTTTAAAATTAGTGTTTCAATTAAAAAAAAAACAAATATAAAAAAAATTATAATATTTTAAAAACAGTTTTGTAAAAGCTATTTTAAAAAATAGAAAGAAAAAAAATTAATCTTAATGGAAAACGAACTTTTTCACACCTATTTTCACCCGTGATATGGTGGAAGAATTGACTTGGTTGTTTTGCGTTTTATCGCAAATGTTGCGGATAGCAAGAGTCGCCACCGACTTTTCTTTTATCCAATAAAGAAAAGCGTGAAAAGAACAGGAAAGACCTTTGAGATATTTTCTTTAGTTCGGGGGGTAGGTTATGAAAAGGGAAGGTGTTAGCACCTTTTTCATCCGTAGTTATCTACGGGCTCGTAGTTGTTTGCTAGATCACTTAAAATTTTGCTTTGTTTGAAAATGTGTTTTGTGATGGGTGTAAGTTTGAAAGTATTTTGAAAACGCCTTTGTTTCGGCAAACTTTGTAATGATTCTCGTCTCTATAAGAATGTACACAAAGTGTTGGTTTTGAAAATAGTTAAAAGAGATGTTTGTTTTTGAAGATGTTTTGAAAGTGTAAGTGCGGAAATGGTTTTAGTTTGTGAACAAGCAACTACGAGCGTCCTACCTACTCAAAAGATCTTTGTTCTTTTCCTCCTCCTTTAGATGTTGCTATCTTACCATAGATTGGTAAGAAGCCCCATCATTGGATGTGAAGGGACGGGCGTGGGTCATCGTATAGTCATGAATGACAATATTGTGAGATATCTTAGCATTTCTCTTAAGGGACTAAGATCAT